AGGCACCTTTTGACTGATGTCTCAAACTTGAAAGCTTCTCTTTCATAAAATGAGAATGATCATGTTTCAAATAAAATGCATCGTTGTTCCAGTTGTTTAGCTTGCCCAAGTTAATAAATCAGTTGCTGTTCAGTCAGCTCTGACTCATGGCGACCCCATGCGTGTTGGAATAGAACTGTTCTCCATAGGGTTTTTGATGGCTGATTTTTTGTTTTTTTCCCAGAAGTAGATTTCTAGGCCTTTCTTCCATGGAGGCTCTGGGTGGACTTGAACCTTCAACCTTTCAGCTAACAGCCAAGTACGTTAACTGTTTGCACACCCAAGGACTCCACCCAAATTAATATAGTGTAATTATTTGAAAAGGGATTTTTTATTGCTTTGAACCTTAAGCATATTTCATTTGAATACAGAATTCCAGTTTGTCCCTTATCCAAATGCTTATCATGTAGTTATTTTTTTTTTACTTTAAATTTTTTTTTAAATTGTACTTTAGGTGAAGGTTTACAGAGCAAATAGTTTCTCATTAAACAGTCAGTACACATATTGCTTTATGACATTGGTTAACAACCCCACAACATGTCAACCCTCTCCCTTCTCGACCTCTTTTTGTTTTTTTGATGAAAATATACATAGCCAAAGATACACCATTTCAAAAATTTCTACATGCACAATTCAGTGACATAGATTACGTTCTTCCAGTTGTGCTGCTATCCTCACTTTAGATGAAGGTTTACAGAACAAAACAGTTTCTCATTAAACAGTTAGTACACATGTTGCCCAATGACAATGGTTAACAACCCCACTACATGTCACCACTGTCCTTACTTACTCAACCATGGGTTCCCTATCACCAGCTTTCCTGTCCCCTTCTGCCTTCTAGTCCTTGTCCCTGGACTGCTGTGCCTCATTAGTCCCATTTTGTTTTACGAGGCTGTCCAATCCCCGGCTGAACAGTGAACCTCGGAAGTGACTTCACCACTGGGCTAAAACGGTGTCTGCGGGCCATATTCTCGGGATTTCTCTAGTCTTTTTTAGGCCAGTAAATCTGGTCTTTTTTGTGTGTGTGTTAGAATTTTGTTCTACATCCTTCTCCAGCTCTGTCCAGAACCCCCTGTTGTGATCCCGGTGAGAGCAGTCAGTGTCTTGTAGTTATTCTTACTGTTGTTGTTATTTAGAAGTAGTAGTTGCAGTTGTCATAGTTCCACTAGAATAAAGACAGTTTTCCATTTGAATTTGGTATGTTTGACTGACATCGTCATTTTGCACACAAAAATGATGCTAATAGCTGTAATTAGGGTGAGTCACTGTCTTGGTGTAAATAGGGTGAATCACAGTGGCTGCAACAATGGGCTCAAACATAGCAATGATTGTGAGGATGGCACAGGACTGGGCAGTGTTTCTTTGTGTTTTCACAGGGTCACTGTGAGTCGGAACCGACTCAACGACACCTAATAACAACAACAACTATCCTGGTTTGCCTGGGCAAGTTACTGGGATGTGGGATTTTCAGTATTAAAATGGGACCATCCTAGGAAACCAAGAGAAGCTGGTCATTCTAGTAATGCTAATTGGCATACTTAATCCTCTAAAAAAACCTAAGAAGTAGCTGTTATTTCCCCATTTTTCAAGTAAGGGAACTGAGACTCAGAGAGGCTAAAGCAACATGTCTTGTTACACCTAACTAGTGGCAATATCTTGTGCTAAACCCAGGTTCTGTCTAGCCCCAGAACCTGTGCTCTGAACATCTCCATTGTGCAGGCTTGTGGTACACAGACTTAAGAAATCACCCACTATAATTGAGATTAAAACCATATATATTCTTGTGGCTGTTCTAAAAATGACTATTTTGTAGCCATCGACACTTAAGCAGGCTTGGAAGTTAAGAATCATCCTAGCACCTGCATTTTTGCTTAGATTTTTAAGCTAGAAATGCAGACTGAAATATAGAACAGAGCATTTTCTGTGTAGAATCATTAACAGCCTTTTGTGAAATCTTGCCAATAACTCTAAAGAAAAGCAAGTATGCAGTCTGGAACATTTATATTTCCATTCTTCGGAACTCTCTTACTTCTCACCAATTTGAGGGCAGTGCTGCCGTCAACTTGGCTCACTTCAAATAAGGCCTCTGTGTCAATCCATGCCCCACTCCTCAAAGCTTTTAGGTAAGAACATCTGAAATGGAAGTCAGATGGAATTGGCCTCATAATTGCCACACTTTTCTTTAGGAAACAGAATTGATGCCTACTTTTTTTCCACAAAGCTTTTTTTGTGATTAGCAGGTGTGAGGCAGCCCAAAGTCAAGTGGGAGGATGAAGTAACTCCTGTTGGGAGGAATGCTTGAAAGGATTTTATAAGCAGAGTCACAGGATAGATACCCAGAAATGTCTACTCTGAAGGTTATGGGACTTTATGAGTTCTTTGCCCTTAGGGAAAATAAACCCATAAAAACCACTGCTAGCTCTGGTGCAAGTTCAGGTTTGGAAGCTGAGCGTAAGGCTGAACCCTAAATAGTATGGACTACTGGTTGTCAGAAAAGGAGCCATGGTGGCACAAATGGTTAAGCGCTCAACTGCTAACCAAAAGGTTGGCGTTCAAACCCACCCAGCAGCTCTGTGGGAGAAAGACCTGGTGATCTGCTTCCATAAAGATTACAGCCTAGAGAATTCTATGGGGCAGTTGTCACATGGGGTCGCTGTGAGTAAAAAATGACTCAACAGCACCCAACAACACAACAACTAGTTGTTAAAGCAAGAGTGCATTTCTTTGACAAATATGTTTATTCATTCGTCTATTTATTCAGCCAAAGTTAAATTGAGGGCCTACTGTGTCTCAGCACTGTGGTAGGCACTGGGAACATAAAGAGGAAAACACTGAAGTCATAGCTCATGAAGCCAGTGGGTAAGGCCAAAATTACATATAGTCAAAATTATCCTTAAACATCCCCCAAATTAGCCATAAAATATCGTCTTAGGTTAGGTTCCCTTAGCAGAGCCTGAGACAGGGATTTTTGTGCAAGTGATTGATTGAAGGAGGCTCTGAGGTGAAGCCTGTAAGGTGATGAGGGAAGCAGGATAGGGCAGGGAACCAAGTTCAACAAATATTTCAGCTCAGCTGAACAGCCATAGTCTAGCCTTGGCCCGATTCCACAGGGAGCTCTGGAGCATGGATAGCATCATAGATTTGTGCTCCCTTGAGGCCAAAGACTCAGCCTTTTGTATCCCAACAGTCAGCCATTGATTGTAGATCTCCTCCAGGGATAGGATGTAACCTCCTTGGCATTTCTGGGGTAAGTGGTTTCAATCAGATGAAAGCAAATCTGAGAAGAAAGATGCTGCTGTGAGCCGTTAGCAGCCAACACTTTGAGCAGCCGAGGCATAGAGGCACCAGCCAAGTAAAGGGAATCTGAAGAGGGGGCATCACCAGCAGCTACTACAAGAAACCTACATATCATTTGTTAATACATACAACAGAGCAATTAATTTTTCTCCAGTGGTGCAAGAGGCCACTGTTTCTTTGTATGCACTACAGATGAAGTGGTTGGCTTATGTTTGGGGGCCATGTTGTAAGAAAAATGTGCATGTATCAACACTAGACTCACACTCAGCGTGGTGGGATGCTTACACTACAAGGAATGCTACCATAGTACCCGAGACTGTGTTTTCCAGGGACTGAGATGTCATTGGACAGGATGATCATTAGGAAGTGGCCTTGATGTCAACACCTGTGTAAGAGAGAGATGGAAGCAAGAGTAGGCTGAGGGAGAAATCGAGCCACGGTTCAGGTCTAGAGCTAAAATGGCCCATCAGAGGTGGCCTGCTTTGGGCCAGACTGGCCAGGCCTTTATACCCCTGCATTGGGTCCCCCTGGAAAAGGTAGGACCTTGTGGGAGGGGGCTTTCTGCAGCTGAGGCCACCCCTGAAGGGACTGACAACTGGAGGCTATCTGTTGACTGTTCTCCCAGTAGCTGGGCAGCATGTCCTTCCTGGAATGGAGATTGGGCAGAACATTTCTGAGTCCTTCCACTGGTGAAGCTGACTCAGAGCCCACCTCACGCTCCTTCCAGAACACGTGATCATTGAGTGGGATGGACCCAAAATTGGCCCCACTGGTTACGGTTTTTTCTCCTTGTTGGGGATGGGGAACTGGGCACACAGAGTTGAAGAATCTACAGTATAGTTAATGCTTTAGTATTTAGTATTAATTCTTGACTTTTATCATTGTTTTATGTTCACAGTCTATCTACATTATTACTTATTATACTTACTAAGCTTTTTTTCCCCTAATTTTTATTTAGTGACAGGCATTGTAGTAAGTAGGGCATCTGGGTGGCACAAATGGTTAAGCACTGGACTACTAGCTGAAAGGTTGGCAGTTCGAATCCACCCAGTGGTGCCTCAGAAGACAGGCCTGGCAATCTGCTTCCAAAAGCTCATAGCCTTGAAAACCCTATGAAGAAGTGCTACTCTGCACACATGGGGTTGCCGTAAGTCAGAATCAACTCGTGGCAACTAGTAACAACAACAGCACTGTACTAAGTACATTACATGCATATATTATTTAATCCTTACAATGACCCTGTGAGGTAGATACTATTATTAGTCCCCATTTTACAGATGAAGAAAGGGTTAGAGAGGTTAGAAAAAACTTGCCCATAGTGAAATTATATAGCTAGTATTTGAACCAAAGTCTGTTTCACTCAAAAGTCAGACCCTTAACCACTATACTAAAACCAACTGTGCAGCCTCTCACATCACCTAATTCATTCATCTGACAATGTTTTACTGAGCACATTTTGTGCCAAGCTGTGTGCTAGGTTGATATTACAGGTTCAACTAAGAAACCTATGGAAAGGAACATAGGTACATGTGTTCTTACGTGCCATTCTTCCTGCTTCTCTCTGTGTGGGTGTGTTTTGTAACAATATCAAGAGATTAAGGCAAATGTAGGGACCTTTGGATATTTCCTAGTATCTCAATTCACTCTTTTAAACTTTTTAACAGGCTAAAAGAGATGCTAAACGAATGTCTGCAAAAGAAGTCACCATCAATGTTACAGACAGCATCCGACAAATGGACAGAAGTCGAAGAATCACAAAGAACTGTGTCAACTAGCAGAGAGTTCCAATACAAGGGAGAGGGGACTTCTTTGGTGCCCCCCACAGCACTGGATCCCGTCAAGGAAACTTGAAGAAGCGGACGCCCCTTGCTGAGCGTGAAAGAAGCTGAATGCCTCAAGAGATTCCGTCTCACCTGTCTCAAATAGCTGTCTGCGCTGTTGGAACATTCTCAGCCTGCTATTTATCACATAAATGTACTGGCACAGTACCTACACATGTTAATAAACTGCAAATGTGCAGTTCAGTTCACCTCTTTGCAACTTCCCTTGTATGATCTGGAGTAAAAGCAGTGAGCTAAAGCCACAGGCCAGTTTCTGAAACCGGTAGAAGTAGAAGGAGGGGCTTCCCTGGCTGAAAGATTCACAAGTCAATTCTAAGCTCTCCTGGGTACAGTCATGTATACTGTTTCAGGCAAGCTTTTTCTTTGTTCTTCCTTTTTAAATACCACCATCATGAAACTTACTTCACTTAAGTGTTGGCGTTCATACAACTTTGCTGTTGTTGTTCAGTGCCGTCTAGTAGGTTCTGACTCATAGCAACCCTGTGTACAACAGAACAAAACACTGCCCGGTCCTGTGCCATCCTCACAGTCATTGCTATGGTTGAGCCCATTGTTGCCGCCACTGTGTCAGTCCATCTCGTTGAGGGTCTTCCTCTTTTTCGCTGACCCTCTACTTTACCAAGCATGATGTCCTTCTCCAGGGGCTGGTCCCTCCTAATAACATGTCCAAAGTATATGAGAAGTCTCGCCATTGTTGAGTCTAAGGAGCACTCTGGCTGTACTTATTCCAAGACAGATTTGTTCGTTCTTCTGGCAGTCCATGGTATGTTCAATATTCTTCGCCAACACCATAATTCAAAGGAATCGATTCTTCTTTGGTCTTCCTTATTTATTGTCCAGCTTTCACATGCATATGAAGCAATTGAAAATACCATGGCTTGGGTCAGATACACCTTAGTCCTCAAAGTGACGTCTTTGCTTTTTAACACTTTAAAGAGGTCTTTTGCAGCAGATTTGCCCGATGCAATATGTCGTTTGATTTCTTTTGACTGTTGCTTCCGTGGGCATTGATTGTGGATCTAAGTAAAATGAAATCCTTGACAGCTTCAATATTTTCTCCATTTATCATGATGTTACTTTAAGCCCAGATACATGAGAAATCAAGAAACAGGAAAACTTCCTGTAATTCTTGTTTCCTTCGCTCATTATGAGACAGATTCAGCTCCAGTTTCACACAAACTAACTCCACAAGACCCCTGAGGTGCCCTTGGGAGGTGTCTAAGTACCTGTGAGGCAGTCAATCACATCCATTTCTCATTTGCCTTCAGTGTCCTCCTACGCTGGCGTCCACGTCAGCCTCCAACCCTTAAGATCACGGTCGTTGTGGTCAGTGCACCCAATCTAGGTAGCTCCTCATAGTTCAGCCTGACATTGCATTTTGCTTGTGTTCCTGAGTGTTTTCTCTGTCCATTCAGGTCACTTTGCAATTATGAATCAAAGACTGGAAACTGCTCACAAGAGGGTTGGCAGCACACGTGGTTTCTCTTTGGCTTCTCTGTACACAGCCCCAGGATTATGTCATTTTAGTATCTAAAAAGTAATCACTTTAGAAAGCCAGTACCTGGTTGATGTGAATTCATATGGTATTAGGTTGATGTGCACTGGGTTAGAAATCAGGTGGCTGATGCAGTTTAAAAAAAAAAAAAATTTGATAGGGGTAATTTTCTAGCATTTCTTTAAACATGTTCAGCTGGAAGTATTTTCTTCCAAAGTAACGTAGCATGATTTTTAAAGGACTGTTAACATGCCTGGGATTGGGAAAGATAGGACTAAAGTTGTACCAAACTTTACCAATAAACTCCATGCTTAGCTTAAATAGGCAGTCTGAAGGTGTGTGTTTATGTAACATAGTCCAGAGAGTTGATATAAGCAGGTTAAAATTCAGATACTCCTCTGTGTTACCTCCCAACTCTGTTGTTCCTCAAACACAAACGGGTAGTGTAATTCATCCATTTTTTTCATTGGTAGATTGTATATTTATTCATTAAACATAAATGCCAACCCTGTTTCAGGTACTATGCAGATGTTGAGGGACTTGGAATCTGGCCAGTCATGACTATATCCTGAATCTTAACACTGGACTTACTAACTACAAGACTGACTTGTACCCTAAGGGATAGTGTATGTTATGAGTTGCCCTGCACTGAATTCTCACTTTTATGTTCAGGGTAGGCTTGTATCCAGATCTGGGTGTTCTTCTAATCATTATACAAACCATACACAAAACTACAGTTTCTGATTCTTTGAGAAAGGGCTTTTAGGGAACTTCATGCTCTGAAAATTAAAAAAAAAAAAAAATTTAGAAAATCTGTGACTCAATATGTCCCCACTGGCATCACTCAGCAGGAGCCCTATCTGCCAACGGGGTGCCTGCAATGATCTCCAAGTTCAAGGGCTCGTTCTTCCAGGCATGCGAGTGTGTAAGGCTTTCCTTCACCAGCCTCTGTGCTATCAGTCACAAGATAAGCCTGGTTTCTAATTACAACTTTGTTTTTGCATCATTTAACTGCTGCACGTTGTTTGGAATTTATCAACTTGCAAAGTGTCTCTGTTTTATACACAAACGGTTTCTCGCTTCTGGGGAGAAGGGAACGAAGGGTGTATGATCTGCCTCTCCCTAAAACCATCAGGATTTCACTAAGACAGTGACCAAAAGTCACACCATACTTACTGAAAATTCATCTGGCAATGTTTTCTCATGTGTGCATGGTACAGGACCTGATTCTTATGATCCTATTAGGATAACACTTTTCATTGCAAAGTTTGTGTCAATAAAGTCATTAATAAACAGCATATATAGACTGCTACAGAGAATCTTTATGGGTATGTTAAATTTGTACATAAAGCAGTTTAGACTTTTTTTTTTTCTTTTCTTTCTCTCTCTCTCCTTCCCTCCCTCCCTCATTTCTTTCTTTTTTAACAAAGGGCTTTTAAGAAATGATCCCTGTGAATCCTCCAAAAAGCCTTGTGAAGTAAGTTAGGAGAATGGTATTACCCTCAACTTACCTTTAAAAGTATTTATAGTCTCAACTAGTAAGTGATGGGTATGAATTCCAGTGAGGGAAGTCTGCCAGCAAATCCAGTGCTTTTTCCACCATAACATAACCTTCTGGTAAGAAGGTGTAAGTCATTACACCTGAGTCATCACAGCCAAGCCTAATCCTAATTAATATACAAACTTTTTGCAAACTGTGGTTGGGAGACTCAGACATTCAGAGGGGAATTGTCACGGAACCTGAGTCTAGGCCCCAGCTCAGGTGTAAGAGAGTGATGGCAAGGATTGGAGAAGGCCAGTGAGCTCTTGGGGAGTTAAGTTTGTCCCAGGCTCCCTTATCCTTCCTGTAAGCAAGGTTCACAAAACTGGCAGCTCCTATGCTGAAACCAGATGGCAGACATGTCATGGTGTTAAAATTGGGAATTTCACACAAAAATCCAGCTGTGGCAAAATCTCCTATATCCAGTCTCTCCTTCCTTAGCCAGGCGCATGTCCATTTAGAATGAAGATTATACCTTCCAGCCTCCCTTGCAGCTAGGTATGGCTACATCATTAAGTTCTGGCCAATGAAATGAAATAGAAGTGAGGTGTGGAAGCTTCCAGGAAGTCTCTTTATAAAAGAATGATTATCTTAGTTATCTAGCACTGCTATAACAGAAATATCATAGTGGATGACTTTAAGAAACAGAAATTTATTCTCTCACAGTTTAGGAGGCTAGAAGTCCAAATTCAGCATGCCAGGTCTGGAGGAAGGTCCTTGTCATCAATCTTCCCCTGGGTCTAGGAGCTTCTCAGCACAGGTACCCGTAGTCCAAAGAATGTGCTCCACTCCAGTTTCTTCTTGCTGGGTGATAATGAGGTCCCTCTCCTCTCTGCTGGATTCTGTTTTTTATATCTCAAATGAGACTGACTCAAGATACAACCTAATGCTGTAGATTGAGTCCTATCTCATTAACATAACTGCCTCTAATCCTGCCTCATTAACATCAGAGAGATAGGATTTACAACACATAAGATAATCACATCTGACCACAAAATGATGGACAACCACATAATACTGGGAATCATGGCCTAGCCAAATTTGACACACATTTCTGGGAGACACAATTCAATCCATAACAATAATAAAGCCCTTCCCTCCTTTTTCCTTATGCTGCTGCCTGGAATGAGGAGGTAATAGCTGGAGCTATAGTAATCCATTGGGTCATAAGGTGAGCTTGGAGGAATGGAAGCCCAGTCAAGCAAACTAACAAGTTAGAAGAAGCCTGGGTCCCTGATTCCACTTAACCTCTATGAGTCCTAGACTGCTCACCTCTAGACCTCTTTTATGTGAGAGAGAAATGCACTTCTACCTCAGTTACACTGATGTTTGAGTCATTACAGCCAAGCCTAATCCTAATTAACACACAAACTTTTTGCAATCCTCTGCTCTCTCTTCCCTTCTCTGCTGGTTGGGTGCCAGTATCTTCCAAGCAAGACCGTCGAAATCATGCATGGAAGATTGTTAAGTCACCATCATCCTTGTTCCCTTAATAACAGCGAGGAACGAAAACATCATCACAGCCCACTCACCCTCACTGCTGACTACCAATTGACAATTTCGTGGCAGGAAATAAATTTTTACTGTGTTAAAGTACTAATATTTGGGAGTTCATCTGTTATAGTGGCATGTGGCTATAACAAAAACCTAAATACAAAGCATTGTCTTAGCAGGTGGGCAATGGGTGGTAGAGAGACTGACATTAGAGGCTAGGACTATATGCAGAGACCCAAACTGTAAGGAGGCAAACTATTTGATAAAACCATTGACTGCAGTCACCTGAAAAGCAGAGCAAATGTTTACCAAGCCTATAAGCTCTAGGGGAAGAGGCTAGAAAATAAAATCTTAATATTTACTGGCTTGTTTAACAAGTTATAACATAAGCAATTGAGCTTAGGC